AGTGGGCCAAGGAGCCAAGCCCCCCTCCCCCCTTGCTGGGCAGTGTAACCCCCTCCCCGCCCCAGCAGGACAGCTGGTAGGTCACCAGTCCTCCCCCCTCCAACATCCTTGCCCTTCACCTTCTCCCGGGTCTTCCTGCTGTTATCTAGGTGGGAGGGGGTCTCAACCCCGCCTTGCTGTGCTAGATGGATGAATGGTTCCTCTGGGTTCTGACCTCCCTCTCCACCCCTCTGAGGTGTCAGTATCTGAGCTTCCTTGTTTCTTGTATGCCTTGAATTTCTCTGCCCTTTCCCACTATGTGTGGGCAGTGATGCTGCTGCAACTAGGGGGGCTGAGGATACTTCACCACCCCCTGGCTGGATGTAGTAATGAGAAACACCCAATACGTGGTTTCCATGGTTTCTACCTAGGGTTCCCAGTAGCACAACCACTATTAAAATTGTTAAAGCACCCTTGTGTGTGGGGTCATCCCCCACTTTTTTCTGGGCTGCACCTTTCTTTGGGGTATGTGTCTTTACCGGACCCCCACCTTCTGGGTGTCTCAGGCTGCCTATGAGACTCCTTTCTTTGGTGTACTTCAGCTATCTCTTTCTTTGTCAAACAGCCATCCTTTCCTTGTGTGTGACTTTCCTTTTCTTTACTTTCTGTCTGTCCCTTCCCTTCCTTTGTAAGTATGAGTACTGTTTCTCCCCCTTTCTAGACCCTTATACAAACCTGATCTTTCTCCTGAGAGGCTACTTCAATTAGCATAAACTAGCAGTTCTCAAACTGTGGTTTGGGGCCCTTTTTTAATGGCATTGCCAGGGCCAGCATTAGACTTGCTGGGACCCTGGGCTGAAGCTGACACCTAAGCTCTACACCAGGCATGTCAAACTCAAAGCCTACCGAGGACCACACAACCGAAAAATGATAGCTTTCAGGGCCACCTAGGGTTCCCAGATGGTTTGGCGAGCAAAAAAATTACCAGACACCTAGCAATCCTAGGGCCACCAAAGAAACTGTACTTTGTCGGAAAGTTGTTATTTATTATTATAGATTATGTTTTAGGTATATTTTATAATATTACAATAATTTGATGTGTAAAATTATTTGCTCATCTTAACTTTTAAATTAAATATCAATGTAAATTAAATATAAACGTAAGGTACTTTTAAATTTTGTATATTATACATAATTTGTTTTGTTGAAATAAAATCAAATATAGACCATGGTTACTGGCTCTGGTGAAAATTTCAGATACTTTGTAAGTTTGAGATTTTGCATAAAGATATAATTATTCATGCAATTGCAAAAAATTTGACATTTATTGATTATAAAATTAATATACATTTTTGTGATTTTACTTAGGAATAAATAAATAAAAAACAAAATAACCCTTCCTCTTCATTTTATTTGGGAATAAATAAATAAACAAAATAAATAACCCCTTCCTCTCCTCCAGAGCCAGGCACTCCCATACCCTGTTCTAACCCAATCCCCCTCCATGCCCCAGAGCCAGCTCCCTCAACCTAATACCTAGGGCGGCTGAGCACAGTGGCTAGCTGTGAGCGCCTGCTGGAGCGCCCAGCACAGAGCGCCCAGCCGGCCATGAGCATGTGCACAGAGCGGCCCAGCCGGCTGTGAGCGCTTGCTGGAGAGCCCAGCGCAGAGCGCCCAGCTGGCTGTGAGCGTGTGTGCAGAGCTGGCTGTCATCAGTTGCTGCGGCGCAGAGCGGCCCGGCCAGTTGTGAGCAGGCACTCAGCCCTGTGCTCCGAGCGGCTAGCGGGCCGCACTTCGTTCTTTTATAAAAAAAGTTCTGGCGGGCTGCAAAAAATTTCAATCAGGCTGCATGCAGCCCTCAAAATGCTAGTTTGACATACCTGCTCTATACCATCTGAGATGGATGTGCTTGGAATCCACTATTCCGATCTCCTGCCCCAGTCGTGTAGTAACAGGGTTTCACAGTGCAGTAACGTTTGAGAACTTTTGGCATAAACCTATTGTTTTTAAAATAAAACTTGTTGTGTTTTTTACATAGGGAAGACAAGTTATTAGATAATTGTGTGCTTCTGAGGAGGGGCATGAGGAAGTAGAGTTTCTCACTATCCTTGTCTCTTCCTCCCTTTAATATGCTAGTCCTAGTAGGAAAATATATCTGCTTATCACAAAACAGACATAGCGCACACAGAGAAGTCTGAAATAAGTTCAGGTGCCCAAAAGTTCAATATATATTTTTTTAAGTAGCTAGGGGAGGATGGAGAGAAACGAGAAGGCTACGTAGAATCAAAAAACCAAATGGTTCAATGACTTGAACTGAAAAAAACATTTTAAAATACAATTTAACTTTAAATCTCAAACTTATTTTTTACCAAATGCTAGTTTGGACTGAGACTACGTAAAATTGGAATAAGAGAAAAAAGGTGTTAAACTAGATTATGCGCATGTTGGTCCATAGCTTGAGAACAAGTGAAATATTTCCTTTATAAGCCACTCTGTAGGAAAAAAAACCATTCCATGCAAAGTAGGCAATAAGAACTGAAACTGATTCTACTGGTATAAAGCTAGTCATGTGAAAGGTGGGTATGTTTCAGATAGGTGAGAAATAAAGTTTTATAAGCTACTAAATGGAGTGTTTAATCCAAACATCGCTTTTTATTGCTGTGCTAAAGTGGTGGATTTGTCCATCTACGGAACACGGATAATAGCTTAAATGAAACTTGATGATCTTCTTGACACTTTAGTTGCAATGGCAGCTAAATAAAATGTTCATGGTGGAAAACAGCTGAGCCCCCTCCTGTGAAAGATGTTTTCCCTTTAAGGGAGTTGACTTTTAGAACTGAATTCTACTTTCAGAACTCTGTCAAACTCATAGGAATCATTTTGTTTTGTTTTGCTTTGTTTTGTTTTTTAAAATTTGGATGAAGAGCAACTTGTCCCTAAACACTGAACAATCATCAAGCTGACCTTGCAGTTTTGATCTTACTGTATTGACTGTTTTGAAGACAGTCCAAACATGCACCCAATAATAGAAACAACACAAAAACATGTTGCTAATATGAGCTAATAAAAATTAGTTCCATTGTTTATCCCTGGAAACACTGATGTTGAACTTCTATTTAGTGTTTATATATAATTCAAATTCAAAACTGCATTCTTAAGCAGCAAACAAGTATGACAAGCAAGGTAAAAATTTGTTCTCTTCATATTTTGTTGCCGTTTCTTATAATGGTATCTGTAAGGTATTACGTGGAGGCCAGGGTTTTGTTTTGTTAGATGTTACATGAGCATAAGAGACAGCTGCTATATTAGAGAGAAGACAAAGTGTAAACCTAATTACCTGGGAGACAAAAAATAAAACACATACATAATCAATCTGTCTGAGGCTGGCCCAACTTGTTATGCTTCACTTAAA